AGAAAATTCATCTAATGTTAAAATTTTAACCTGTAATTTGTTTCGTAGATGAGTGCAATGTGCATGCTGTATACTTCGAAGGCGACGCATTTATCAAAACCTGGCTGAAGGAATGAAAGTTCGATAAATTACCGTGTTGAAGGAGTTAAGGGGGTGATTGAAATTCATTTTTCAAAAACATTTAATTAGTTTTTTTTTCAAATTTTTTTCTAAATGATTAAAATACTACACTGTTATGGTAGGAAGTATGCTGTCGATGCGACTGAACATGGGCTTCATTTTTTCTTAGATTGTTTTATCAGGATTCCGAAAGTCCTGTACGAAATGTCACGGTATATCGAATCTGTTATATGTGTAATCTCCAACGTTTGTTATCATATTCGTTCTGTCGCTGTATTCTCAACTGAAGACGGATCCAATATGTTTCGAAACGTTTGAGAATACGCATTTAATATATTTGGTATGTCATGTCATCCCGTAAGGGACCTTTCGAATTTTGAATTGAATTCTGACATAAATACCCATACTTTACGTTTTTGTGATTTTTTTACTAATTATCGTATTTGAGATCTGTGATTCTGTATTTTAGCGACAAAATGGAACTGCGTAGTCACAGTGTATAAGTTTCACTACAGAAGTTTGCTTTTAAAGTTAAACTGTCTTGCAGGTGTTAAAATTATGTGGCCTATGATCCTAAGATTGTCTGTAGTTAACCCTGCGCTAGAACATACCTATCCTTGCCTATAATCATAGGTTCTGGTACTGTGTAATGGCAAAAATAATGGGACATTGGTGAAAGCAGTAGAACTGAGGCTCATTGAAGGGACGGGCCTCAGCCTGTCATCCTTGCTGAATGTTATTCTACGAAGTATCCTTCTTATTAAATCTCAGGTGAAGAGTTACCAGAGTCACCGCTGCATTGACTTCTGAATTACTCCATGGATCATCAGCAATTTGTCTTTATAGGTAAGCTGCTCCCTTTCGTAGCGCCTGCCTTGGTAACCTTCAGAGTGCAGTACTCTCGCACTGTTGTTCATCTTTTCTGAGCATCCTCCAACTAGTAAAACTTGTTAACTATATAAAGTGTGCTGAAGGTATGGCTCTTGTCTCTGCAGTCCATTGTCAATCTGAATATCCTTTACTTTGCAAGATGCTATGGATGGAGTGGAAAGCTAGATCAGAAGCAATGGCTTGATTATTAATTGTATGAAGAGCGCGCAGCTAACGATGGACATGAAGAACACATCATCTAAGCTACTTATCGCTTCTGAACACTTGATAGCAGTAGGAAATTAGCCAATACCGTATGTTGGCACTATGATATTTGGCTATGATCCTAAATAACAACCTCTCCAGGAGTGATCACGTTATTAGCACATCCTAGAAGATACAGAGAGAGAAGGAAACGAAAGTTAGTCGCAGTTGAAATATCTGCCATCTTTCACTTTCATGACTGGGCCATTTTGACGCCCTTCCTTTCATGAAATTAATGGTGATATGCTGATCACCATTACTATTTCATCAGCCAGTAGTGCGTTACTTTAAAGGCAGAGCCGACAGCAAGTATGTGACAAGCATGGCATGTAGATTCCTATTTTCTTCCCACAGTGGTGTTCATTTATCATCCTAGGATAGATGAAAGGTGAATTCCGCCGAGGCTCAAATCTTGCACCTCTCGGTTCTAAGTTCGACGCTCTACCCACCAAGAAAACCCGCTCTGAAGTAATATGTGGTATATTCCTTGCTTAGCTGAATAAACGTGAAGAAAACAAAGATTGTCCGAGAGCTGAATTGAACCCCGCCCCTTTCGAGTTCGATGCAGACATCTTAGACAAATGTGCCAACACGCCAGAACAAAACGGAACATTCTCTTTGTTGAGATTCCAAATCTCTCCTTCGAATGAACGGATTCGACTGTTTGTTTTCGATTGTATAATTCAAACCCCAAGCTGGTCAGTACCTAGGCCAGTTAATCCTTTTGCTGGCGTGCGGCGAAGGAAGGATGATATCATC